TAAAAGCTCGATTTTTCAATCTCGCACTTACCAAAATTTTTGAACTTTTTCCGAGCACTTTGGAAAATTATCAAATGAGATTTTTTTGTTGTTTTCGACTTCTAGAATTTATTTTTGGTTTCACATCTGTGAAAATTCCAACCATTTCTCCAGAATCGTCAAAATCAAATTGAGCCATTTTTGGGAAATTTTCAAAATTTGATATAGAAACCGAATAAATATTTCCGACATCTTAGCCTGGGACTATCAACAGGCTGTTTTTCGAATCAGCTCCTCGAAATTCATACGCCTGATGTTTTTAGGCAAATTCGCCAAAAAATTGAATTTTCAAAACCCCTTATGAAAACTTTTGGACCTTTTCTGAGAACTTTCGGAAATTACCGAAAGAAATTTTGTGGCTAATTTTGAGTTTCAGAAGTTATTTTCGGCTTCATTTTTCCAAATATTCCAGAAGAGCCAAAGTGAAATATCACCATTTGTGGAATATTTTAAAAATTTTATTCTGAAACCGAATATTTTGAAGATCGTGATCTAGGAAATGTTTTTCGAATCAGTTCGTCGAAATCTATATTCGAGAATTTTTTTGTAAATGTTTAGGAACTTCTCCAATTCAAACCATTTTGCAGAATCGCCAAAATTAAATTTACAAAAAAAAAATCAATTTTTTAATGAAATTTTTTATCTCCCAAGCAGTTTCAAAAATTATCCAAAGAAGTTTTTTTGTTGATTTCGATTTACAGAAGTTATTTTTCGCTTCATTTCTTCAAAAATTTCAACCATTTTTCCAGAATCGCCAAAGTGATATATTTCACCATTTTTGGTATATTTTAAAAATTCGATTTTGAAACCCAATTTTCGTAAATCTTGGTCTGGAAACATGAAAAGGCCATGTTTTTTGAACCCATTTATTGAAATCTAGCACTTTGGAAAATTATCAAATGAGATTTTTTTGTTCTTTTCGACTTCTAGAATTTATTTTTGGCTTCACATCTGTGTCAATTCCAACCATTTCTCCAGAATAGTCAAAATCAAATTGAGCCATTTTTGGGAAATTTTCAAAATTTGAAATAGAAACCGAATAAATATTTCCGAAATCTTGGCCTGGGACTATCAACAGGCCGTTTTTCGAATCAGTTTGTTCGAAATCCATATCCCAGATTTTCTGTGAATTTTTAGGCAAATTTGGCAAACAATCGATTTTTCAAAATCCCTTATGAAATTTCTGAGCTTTTTCCGAGCACTTTCGAAAATTACCGCAGATTTCTTGGCCGCTTTCCACTTGTAGAATTTATTTTTGCTGTCCACTGGTTTTTCCGTGATCGTCAAAATGAAATTGGACCATTTTTGAAATATTTAAAAAAATTTGATTTTGAAATCGAATATTTCGGAACCATCAGGAGGCTATAATTTTTGGAATTAGTTCGTTGAGATTTATGTCCCAGAATTTTCTATTAATTTTTAGGCAACTGTGCCGAAAGCTCAGTTTTTCCATACACGAAATTTTTGACTTGTTTCCGAACACTTTGAGATTTTTTTGTTGATTTCGATTTGTGGATGTTATTTTCGACTTCATTTCTTCCCAAATTCTAACTATTTTTCCAGAATCGTCAAAATGAAATTGGACCATTTTTGGAATATTTAAAAAAAATTGAATTTGAAATCGAATTTTCATAAATCTTGGTCTGGAAACGCCAAAAGGGAACATTTATTGTTCGATCTTCTCCTTAGGAAATTTTTGAACTTTTTCCGAGCACTTTGGAAAATGATCAAAATAGATACAAGGATACCGTTTTGAAACACTTCTTCCATTCCCTGTTAAGAGTGAAAATCAATCACTCCCTATTTCCGGTACTCTTTGTCAATATTACATAACCGTGTTTGATAATAAACAATAGCTTGCACATTTCCTGTTGGTTTATTCTTCTACGTGCTCGAGCTCGGTTTGCATAGCGTTAAATCGCCTCGAAAAAAATCCTCCACTTCTTATGGATACACACAGAGAAATATCGTCGGCGCTGCAACATTCAAAGAGCAAACGTTTAATAAATATCGCTACATGAGAGCAGAATGCCAGATCGTTTGCTTTCTTGATTTGTGTGGCACAGGGTACGATTTACCCCAGAAGAATTCGAAAAATCTGCACCGTAACAAACAGGCGGTGTATGACGTTAATAAGAAACTTATCAGACGTGAGAATGCGATTGAAAAATGTCGAGAAACGTGCTCGGTTTACATGGAAACGTGCGAGTCATTGTGAAATTGTCACGCTTTTATTATTACTTTTTTCGGATAATAATTGTTTGCGAAATTATGATAAGCGGAAAATGAGCGACGTTTAAGTGTGTTAATTGAACCATAAAAATGGGTAATTCAAAGATTTGTTTTTTTAGAATGACGGAGTCGTTTGTGTAATTGGGTGCTAATTTTGGATGGATGATGATAATTGTGTACATGTAGCTGTCAAATGATGTTGGAGGACAGATAGCCGGAAAAAGGAAATCTGGTATATATTTTCTACTCTATACAGACGTGTTTAAAAATTCCTGAAGTAATCGCATGAAAAGCCACTTAAGCTCTCTTTTAATCTTCATTTTGCAAAAAAAAGCAAGTTAAACTTTTTTAATACAGAAAGTTAGTTTTCGATTAATGGATGGCACGCTATCGCAATCACAATATTCATTCATAAATAAGAAAATAATCCCTGGTTCATGCATTATTATTGTTTGTGAAACAATGTTTAGATTTTGGAAAAATCGGGATATTTGCGCTAATTCGTTAGTGGACTTAGATAATACGTGCCGAAATTTTATTGTTGTATTAAATGGTGGTTACTTGTTTGATTGATAGCTTCGTTTTTAACCGCTTGTGTGGGTCTTTTTGTGTTTATTTTATGATAAGATAGTTTGTTTCGCACTATTTATGTTCTGGTGTGGGTTTTGAGGGACTGTACTGATTATAGTGGACGCTTATGCATTTATTTATTGGAAATTGTGGATTTTTTGGAATAGTTTGCACACGGGAATTATTGTTTATTGTTTCTAGAATTTGTCTGAAACAATTGGATTTACCGCTACCACTGGAATTATCGTCATAATTTTTATTTATTTAATCAGTTCAGTTTCACAACCATTTGTAGTGGGTGAATTTACCTACCTTAGCTTTATATTGTATAAATTTGTCTGATCATCCCCATTAACATGTTGATGACGTCACTTCAAAATTTTGCGTAGTAATGGTTTGTGAATCCGCCTTGATTTTTACCCTGGATATCCATTTTCGGACCAATTTTTTTGTTAATTCGCTCCAAAAATGTGGATATGTCATGTCAAAATTTTGTCAAGAATATTAAAATCTTATCTTCGTGTTTTCAAATATTCCGAAAGGTCATTTATTTAACGAAACTTTTGACCATTTTTCGAGGACTTTGGAAATTACCAGAAGAAACTTTTTGGTTGATTTTGGTTTGTAGAAATTATTTCGGCTTCATTTGTTCGTTTATCAATATTAGAATGGCCTTTCTGTCACGTTTTTGTCTTTTTTCGAAGCTTTTTTCGTCCTCTTTGGCGCCTTTTTAATGCCCTTTTTGTCTATACAATTTTATGGCTGGTTATTTTTCTTTTTAGTTTTTTATCGCTTTTGCTTGATCGCCCTTTTTTGGCTTTTTTCTTTTTCTGTTGCCTTTTTTCTTTGTTTGTAATTTTTTTTCCCCTTTTTGATCCACTTTTTCTTCTATTTTATCGCATTTCCACGTTTATTTCTTTTTTCTTTTCGTCACCTTCTTTCCGTGCAAAATTAAATCCTGCAAAATATTTCAGCATCTTAAGTTTCTCATAAGCCTGATAAATTGCTAATCAAAATGTATCTGTTTATTCCTCCCAAAAATTTTTTGACATCATCTCAAGATTTTGTTGGATAAATCTTATCTAAAATGTACAAAATATTTAGTATTTTTGTGGTTTAAATATCAAATGCACCCTTTTACTCCCCTTTTTTATTTATATATTTTATCGCGTTGTTTCTCCTTTTCCCCTCTTTATTCCACCTTTTCTGTTACTTTTTAATATTCTTTAATCGTAGTATTTTTGTTGAATTTCTATCTTTTTTAGATTTTTTGTTCTTCCTGTTCGTCTTTTTACCGTTTTCTTTAGTCGCCTTTTTTTGTTTTTTTTGTCGCCATTTCTTCCCTTTCCTGTTATACTTTTTTGTTGCATTTTCTTCCTCTTTCATAGCACTTTTAGAGAAAAAGTGCTATGAAAGAAAAAGAAGACTAAAAAGTGACAAAAAAGTCGAAAAAAGGGTTTTTCGACTTTTTTGTCACTTTTTAGTCTTCTTTTTTAATTGCCTTTTTTGTTATTTTTCTATCACTTTTTTGAGTTTTTGTTTGGTAGTTTTTTTTTTTGTCTACTTTTGTATCATCTTTTTTTAGTCGTTTTTTCCTCTCGATCGTTTTTTATCACGTTTTTAAATTAGTCGCTATTTTTTATCCCCTTGTGTATTATTGTCTTTTCTTGTGGCTTATTAGGTTGTGTTTTTTTCTGTTTTTTCTGTAGCCTTGGTGTTATCGTCTTTTTCTGGCACTTTCCTCACCATTTTTTTTTTCATTTGTTTTTCATACTTTTTGTCGCTTTTTGTGGTTGTTTTATTTAGGTATATATTTTTTGTTGTTTTCCTCCTCTTCAATCGCCGTTTTTTTTTTAATTTTTGTAACTTTCTAATCTTCTTTTCTTTTCGCCTTTTTGTCGTCTTTTTTTCTGTCGCCTTTTTTGGATTTTTTTTCGTACTTTTTCATTTTTTTGTGTCGCCTTTTTTTGCTTTTGTCATACTATTTGGCACTTTTTTGAGATTGTTGTAATCCCTCTTTTATCTACATATATATACTTTATCACGTTTTCTGTAGCTTTTTTCATTTTTTCAGCTTTTTTGTTACTTTTTCTTTTAATTCGCCTTTTTTCTGTTAGTTTTCTGTCCTCCTTTTTACCGCCCTTTGATGTTTTCCTTGTTCATATTTTAGATTGTCCTTGACTTTTTATAGTCTTTTTAGGTGTTTTTAGGCCCCTTTTTGCATTATCTGTTTTTTTGGCTTCTTTTTTGGTCTTTTTTCTTTCTCCTGGCGCCTTTGTGTTATTATCTTTTTTGGGTTTTTTCTCGTCGGTTTTTTCTGTCGCTTTTTGTGCTTTCGTTTTCTGTTTCCCTTTTTTCACCCTTTCTCTATCGACTTTTTTGTCATCTTTATCGTCTTTTTTCTTATCTTTTTTTTGTTTGTAATTCTTTTTGTCGTTTTTTTGGATAACTTTTTTGATCGATTTTTTCTGATATTTTATCGCTTTTTCTACATTTATTACCATCTCTTTTCGTTTCTTTATTACTTGTTTTTTGTTCCCTACAAAACCAAACCCTGTAAAATCTTTCAAAGTTTTAAATTTCTCGCAAGTCTGATAAATCGCTAATCAAAATTTATCTGTTTATTCCTCCCAAAAATTTTTTGACATCATCTCAAGATTTTGTTGGATAAATCTTATCTAAAATGTACAAAATATTTTGTATTTTTGTGGTTTAAATATCAAAATGCACCCTTTTACTCCCTTTTTTATTTATATATTTTATCGCGTTGTTTCTCCTTTTCCCCTCTTTATTCCACCTTTGCTGTTACTTTTTAATATTCTTCTTTAATCGTAGTATTTTTGTTGAATCTCTATTTTTTTTAGATTTTTTTGTTCTTCCTGTTCGTCTTTTTACCGTTTTCTTTAGTCGCCTTTTTTTGTTTTTTTCCCTTTTTTTGTTTTTTTTTTGTCGCCTTTTCTTCCCTTTTCTGTTATACTTTTTTGTCGCTTTTTCTTCCTCTTTTTTAATTGCCTTTTTTGTTATTTTTTCTATCACTTTTAGCGATTTTTGGGACCTTTTTTTGAGTTTTTGTTTGGTAGTTTTTTTTTGTCTACTTTTCTATCATCTTTTTTTAGTCGTTTTTTATCAGGTTTTTAAATTAGGCGCTATTTTTTATCCCCCTGTGTATTATTGTCTTTTCTTGTGGCTTATTTGGTTGTGTTTTTTTTCTGTTTTTTCTGTAGCCTTGGTGTTATCGTTTTTTTTTGGCACTTTCCTCACCTTTTTTTTTCATTTGTTTATCGCTTGTCGTTTTTTGTGGTTGTTTTATTTAGGTATATATTTTTTGTTATTTTCCTCCTCTTCAATCTCCGTTTTTTTTTAATGTTTGTAACTTTTTAATCTTCTTTTCTTTTCGCCTTTTTGTCGTCTTTTTGTCTGTCGCCTTTTTTGGATTTTTTTCTTACTTTTTTCATTTTTTTGTGTCGCCTTTTTTTGATTTTGTCATACTTTTTGGCACTTTTTTGAGATTGTTGTAATCCCTCTTTTATCTACATATATATACTTTATCACGTTTTCTGTAGCTTTTTTCACTTTTTCAGCTTTTTTGTTACTTTTTCTTTTAATTCGCCTTTTTTCTGTTAGTTTTCTGTCCTCCTTTTTACCGCCCTTTGATGTTTTTCTTGTTCATATTTTAGGTTGTCCTTGACTTTTTATAATCTTTTTAGGTGTTTTTAGGCCCCTTTTTGCATTATCTGTTTTTTTTTTGGCTTCTTTTTTGTCTTTTTCTTTCTCCTGGCGCCTTTGTGTTATCTTTTTTGGCTTTTTTCTCGTGGTTTTTTTCTGTCGCTTTTTGTGCTTTCGTTTGTCATACTTTTTGGCTGTTTTTTTTTTCAGTCGTCGTTTTTTTAAGTGGGCTTTTTTCGCTTTTTTCGCATTTTTGTCACTTTTTGTGGCCTTTTGGCAATTTCTTTGGAACTTTTTTGAATTTTTTGGTTCTCTTTTCTGTTGCCCTTTTTTTTCACCCTTTCTCTATCGACTTTTTGTCATCTTTATCGTCTTTTTTAGCCTTTTTTCTTATCTTTTTTTTGTTTGTAATTCTTTTTGTTGTTTTTTTGGATAACTTTTTTACTTCTTTGGAGCCCTTTTTGATCAATTTTTTCTGATATTTTATCGCTTTTTCTACATTTATTACCATCTCTTTTCGTTTATCACCTTTTTTTTCCCTACAAAACCGCACCCTGTAAAATTTTTCAACGTTTTAAATTTCTCGCAAGTCTGATAAATCGCTAATCAAAATTTATCTGTTTATTCGTCCCAAACATTTGATGACATCATCTCAAAATTTTGTTGAATAAATCTTATCTAAAATATAGAAAATATTTTCGGTCTATTTTTGTGGTTTTTCAGCATCAAAAATACTCTTTTTGCCACCTTTTTTGTCCCTCATTTGCAACTTTTTTACCCTTTTTGCCTTTTTTGTCGACTTTATTAACATTTTTAGGCGTTTTTCCCCTTTAAGTCATTTTTTTTGTCGCCTTTGTTTTTGGCCTTTTTTTGTCAGCTTTTTTGCTTTTGCTTGTCATACTTTTTATGGCTTTTTCTAATGGCATTTTTGTCCCCTTTTTTATATTATTTATTATCGACTCTTACCTTTTTGTCACCTATTTTTTTCGCTGCTAAACTGAATACTGTGAAGTCTTGCTAACATTTTAAGGTTATGGTAACTATGTAAATTGCTAATAAAAATGTATCTGTTTATTTCCCCCAAAAACTTGATGACGTCATCTCAAAATTTTACGACTACAACTTTAAAGAGTAGGATTTATATAATTTTGTTTTTTTTTTCGAAAAATCTAGATGTATAGTCTTGGCAAATAAAAGTGGCAGACCTAACTTTTTACACCGTATGATCTTCTGTCAAATGATTTTATTAGCTTTCTGTAGCCGAAGTGGCATTGAAAACAGGGCCAGATCAGGTAGAAAATAACACAATAGAACAACAATAAAATAATTCAATCACACCTAAATTGTAAAATCCATCAACCCACTTCTATCAATAATTTTTTACACTAATCACTAAAATCAGGCTTACAACTATTATTATCACTTAATACCGAACTTATCTCCACTACTAATCAGCAATTAACCTTCCTAAGTGCTCTCAAATCATCAATGCACTAACCCCAATTGCAAAACATGCAAAAACTGATCACTAAATATGCAACACATTGACCATGATAACTGATAACCTAATCTAATCTCCCGCGCTCACATCACCTATTATGTAACACCACACGCCGTCGTAATCAAGCATGTGCGATTGTTAAAAATTCTAAATTGGGTTAAAGAGTAGAACGAAGGGTCAGGCAATAACAGTAATTGATTATAATGAGGCAAGAATGTCGAAGACGAGGACGGATCTGGACTGAATTCGACCAGATTAGGTCGGAATTTTGCTCCATTATCCAGCAATTATGTGGACGCGGATATACCAAAAAGTGGGCAGAATAATGCAGCAATTTATTAATAAGCAATTCACAGAGGCGACTTTCTCCCACAACTCGTGTAGAGACAGGTAAAGTTGTCTGAAGCATTCCTGCGTGGGGTCACGGCCACAAGTTTTCAAAGTGTAGAGAATGACGGCCGATGAAGTCCTTATGTTCACAATGAATCAGTTACGGAAATGGTTCGTGCTTATCTGGTTTCACGATGAATTGGGAAGGGCCGACGATTTCCACTGGAAAAGTGGCGTGTGACAAAGCGGTGACACGGTTTCGAAAAAACGATAGTTGAATGTGTAGGAATTTTTATTATGCAATTGTTGGAACAGCTGTAATCGGGCCAGTGGCGATTTTTAGTGGTCAGAAAACACAGCAGAGGAAGAGTGATAGCGAAAGGTTACGAAGATAAAATTGACGAAAATATAAACACTGATAACGAGACAAAAGATCCACACTTGTAACTTCTAATGTTTAAACAATTTGTAACATAAAGTGCGACCAACAAAAACACGTCGTCAAGTTGGCACTGGAAGAGCTTTCGAACTATATGGATTATATATTTTTTAGCTTGTCATGCTATGGTCTCTATTATTACTCATCTCTTTAAAGAACTAAAAGTAGAACATAATTTATTAGTTTTGCGGTTCTTGATCAATTCGTCACGAGGAAATCTTAAGGTTACTTCAGTTTTTTTAACGGAAATACTGGACATTCCAAATATTTTATCCTTAAAACCGTCTTGACAAAAAAATCTACACAAGACACATGATATAGGTTTAAATGAAGGAGAAAATATTACTTGTGATAATAATTTGTTTATAATTATGTTTTGATAACTTCCGTCGTTTCCATTTATTTGAGATGGTATATATGGTGTCCCAACGACAACTTATTTAAAACTTGATTTTGTATCTAAATTTTAAGAAAACTTTCGAAAATGTTTAAAATTCGACTAGCAGTTGACACATAATTTAATCTTGAGGGATACTCTAGGACCTATCACAATCCTTAGCTTACTAAGATTTTCGGATACTTCTTACTTACTTTGTTATGTCAAAAGAAAAAAAAGTCATTCTTTTGACTCATTTATACAGGGTGATTAAATTTGCAAATTGTCAGTTTTCTCACATTTTCAAAACGGCCACTATATTGCATACACTTTTGGATTTCTTCCAAGCAACTCTTCTTTTAATACAAAATTTGTCAAATTTGTCATTTTTGTTTAATTATCAGTTATAATATATTAAGTGCATCGCAATGTTATCGATAATTTTGAGCAACAATAACTCGAATGCTTGTTGCATTGAAAACGCACGAGTGCTTTAGCACGAGTGCATTTTTCTTAGGCAACAAGCATGAGAGATTATTGTTGTTCAAAATTATCGATTTCATTGTGATGCACGCAATATATTCAACAGATTATTGCAAGAACAAACATTTTAAAAATAATTTTATAATGATTTACGAAGTAGTTTGGTGTGCGATACTATGGCGACGCAAGTAAATAAGAACAGCCATTTTGCAAAATTTGTGTGGGTTTAAAAAACCATGTCCAATTTTCGTTTTGGTCGTAACACGCCAAAAGAAATTGATGATTCTATTACAAACATTACGCCGCTAAATACGAAGAACTCACGAAATTCAATCTGGAGGCAATTTGAGAAGTTTTGCGGTGAACGCAAATATGTTTTTGATGGAAACACTTCCACGGAAAAACTAGCATTCATCCTCAAAGATTGGGGGTACAATATGAAAAAAGTCGATGGTAATGACTACAAAGAAGCAGTAATAAAAACGATGTGGAATGTAACGGCAAAGCAGTTGCAAGAACTGTATTTCAATAAATTTGGTATAAAGTTTGATCCTTTTGTTGACCTGGAATTCAAGGGTAGTAGAAATGCACGCGACGCAAAACGCCGGAACCTACAAATACAACCGGAAAAACGCAAAACTAGTTCCTCAATTTTGACTCTAGAAGAATACAACAAGATTCTAAAGATTTATAACGAAGACACGCCAGATGGTTTACAGAAAATGTTTTTTTATGTGGCTGGATTAGAATTAGCTTGGAGGGGATGTGAAGGTGTTAACGTTACTATCAAACATTTTAAGGAAGAAAGTGATAATTGTGGTTTGCCTACGGGGCGAATAGAATACAATTGTATTTTTTCCAAAACAGCTCAAGGAGGTAGCCATAAATTAACAGACAGCAAATGGCTTGCAACAAACACCACAGATCCTAGAATTTGCCCTGTTAGGTAATTAAATACTGTTTCAAATACAAAATAATAATTATTTTATTATTTAAGGCTCTACAAAAAAATGCTGAGCAAGAGAGGTAAACATATAACCACCGATCGTTTATTTTTAACGCCAAATCCTGCATGGAGAGAACCTAGTTCTGTAGGATGGTTCAAAAATTCACCCGTTGGAAGGAATGAAATGGGGAAATGGACAAGAACCGCCGCAGAAGAAATAGGCATCGACATAAAGAAAAAGAAGATTAGTAATCATTCATTACGGTCAACTGCAGTGTCGCAACTTGCAAAAGCGGGAGTCGGTGAAGAACAGCTTATAAAGATTACCGGTCATGCCAATACTTTCTCCATCAAACCATACCTTCAGCTCGATGGAGATCATCATTATCAAATGATTGACAAATTACGCGCCAACTCAACGGCTATGGAAGAGTCTAATAACAAATCCACAAATTGCGCACCGTCTGCTTTGGTACAAATGTCTAAAAATATAGTTACTACTTCACCAAGCACACAAACCCCTGTAAATTACTACAACTGTACCATAATTAATTACAATTCTTAGTTTCATAATTAAATATTTGGTTAGTAACCTCTTGTTTTTTTTTGCAATTAACTGGTACTTGCTTATCTTATAGTTGGCACATCTGGCTAGTGATAATTATCGGTAGTGGTAATTGCACAGTGTGCAATTATCACGTAATTGTATGCTGATTGGTTGAATTTACAAATATTGACGCGTTTGATTGGTCAGTTGACATCATGTGACATGTGAGTGCAATAATCGTTAAAATAAACACCACCATCCAGATGTTATAAAGTTACTCAGAAACGAGTTCGAGAATGTGAAATACAGGGCGTTTAATTTTAAAAAAGTTTAATCGATTTTTTGTGCCTTTTCTAATGGCTTTGAATTCGCCATTTTTTAGTTTTGTCGCTTTTTACACTTTATTATTTCTTCTTTGTTTGCAATTGCTTCATTGCTTTTTTTCGCATTTTTTTAGTTGTTTTTTCCTTTTTTTGTTGCCTTTTTTTTCGTTTTTTATTTTAATCACACTTTTTGCTCGTTTTTTCCTGCCATTTTTGTTTCGCCTTGTTTGGTTATTATTATAGTTTTTGTCACTTTCTTCCGACATTTTTCCCAAATTTTTGTAGCTTTTTTCACCATATTTGTCGCCTTCTTTGGTTGCTTTTTTGTCTCTTTTTTCTTTGTCACCTTTTTGGGTTGCTTTGTCGTGTTGGCTCTCTCTTTTTTCGTCGTCTATTTTTGGTCGTTTTTTGCCTTTTTTCACTAACTTTTTGGTCCCCTTGACGCTTTTTTTAAGTCCTTTTTTATCGCATTTAATGTTGCTTTTTTCCGCTTTTTTTATTTACTTTTTACTTTTTTGGCGCTTTTTCCGTAGTCTTTTTTTTCGGAGTCTTTCCCTGACTTTTTTGACACCTTTTTTTGCTTATTTTTCGTTCTTGGTCTCTTATTTTATCAGTCGTCGACGCGAATGGCGGCGATTTTTCGCAGTTTTTCCATTTTTGGCAAAATTTTAGAGTCACAGGGCCGTAAAGTGACTTAGAAACGTCTTTGTGAATTTGAAATTGACTAAGAAAAGTGGCACATTGCACACGGCGTCCATTTCGCACGGGTTGTCATGGCAACGGCTATAGCGAAACGTCAGTTCTGATTTCCTCATTCCGTCATAATCAAATTAAATAATATCTGTTCCAATAACTGCCAGTAGCAATCGGAGTACCTCAAGGCACATTCTTGGGGCCATTATTATTCTTGTGACATCTCGGTATAAACTATTCAAAAATTATTAGTTATGCAGACGATACGCAAATTTATCTCTCATTTAAATTAAAAGATATAACTTTTGCTTGTGACAAAATCAACGTTTAACCCAGTTTTTCCTTTCGAAGTATTGAAATTTCTTGAAAATACAAATTCATTTCTGGATATTTGGAAAACATGTAATAATAAACCAATCTTGAAACGTGTTTAAAGAAATTTCGACTTTTAAAGTACTTAATATTGAACAAAGTATTAAATGCTTCAAAAGTTCAAAAATAAACTCGAAATAAATATTCACAGTTTTGGATGAAATTTTTGCTTAGTTTATAAAATATTGTGATTTTAGCAATTTTTTTTCTTATTTATTCTCAATAAATTTTGTTTTTATTTTTCAATTTCCACCTAACGATTTTTTTAAACCTAGTTTTCTTTTCCGAAGTGCTGAAATTTTTCCAAAATACTATTTTTTTTCTCGATATTTGCAAAAATAAATGAAAATTTTGACTTATATTGAACGGAATTTTGTTAAATGCTTCAGAAATAAATTCTAATTTTTCTCTTGACATTTGGAAAACAGCTAAAAATAACTGCCTTAAAAAAGTTTTTGAAGAAATTTTGTAAATATTGAACTAAAATTTAAATGCTTGAGAAATAAATTCGAATTTTTTGAAAAAAATACACAATTTTGGATGAAATTTTTGCCACGTTTGTTATATACTGTTTTTAGCCAAAGAATTCTTTAATCTAATTTTTTCACAATACGTAAATTTTTTAATAAAATTTTAACGTAGTTGTAAAATATAATTATTTTTAATAAATTTTGACTTTTAAAGTGCTTAATATTGAACGAAATGTTGAATGCTTGAATAGTTCAAAAATGAACTCGAAATAAATATTCACAGTTTTGGATGAAATTTTTGCTTAGTTTATAAAATGCTGTAATTTTAGGGAAACTTTTTTTTTCTTATTTATTCTCAATAACAGTGTTTTTTTTAAATAAAATTTCCAACTAACGATTTTTTTAATCATAGTTTTCCTTTCCTAAGTCCTGAAATTTTCCCGAAATACTAATTTTTTTCTCGATAAAATAAATGAGAATTTTGACTTATAAACTAGTAAACTTATATTGAACGAAATTTTGTTAAATGCTTGAGAAATAAATTCTAAATTTTTGAAAAAAAACCACACCATTTGATGAAATTTGTGCCCAGTGTGTTTGTAATGAAAGATTTTTTCTCTATTTAATTTTTTTTCTCAATACTCAAATTTAAAAAAAAAATTGACTTGGTATACAAAATAATGTAGTTCTACCTAACGATTTTTTTTGACCTAGTTTTTTCTTTGTTGAAATTTCACCGAAATATTAATGTTCTAATTTTTCTCTTGATATTTGGAAAACAGCTAAAAATAAATGAGCCTTAAAAAAGTTTTTGAAGAAATTTTGACTTATAAACTAGTAAATATTGAAGTTAAAGGCTTGAGACGTAAATTCGAATTTTTTGAAAAAAATCATATTTTTTGATGAAATTTCTACAAAGTTTATTAGATACTGTGACTTAAGCCAAAAAATTCTTTTTTTGTGTATTTTTTCAATAAGTAATTTTTTTGATAAAATTTTGACTTTGTAAAATAGTGTGGTTCCAGCCAAGGATTTTTCCCTTTGAAGTATTGAAATTTGGAAAACAGCTAAAAATAAAACAATCCAAAACATGTTTTGAAGAAATTTTGATCTATAAAGTAGTAAATATTAAACGGAATCTTATAGATTTTTTTAATATTATTTTTCTCAGTATGCAAATAAAATAAATATAAATGATAACATTTTAACTTTCATTTTATTTCATTTTAACTTTCAAGTTTAGTGTGGTTCTACCTAACGATTTCTTTAAGTCAGTTTCTCCTTTCGAAGTGCAGAAATTTGAAATTTCTCGAAAATCCTAATTTTTCACTCCGTATTTGGAAAAACAACTAAAAATAAATCAGCCTTAAAAAGCCTCTCGAAGAAATTTTATAAACTAGTAAATATTGAACACTTTTGGATGAAATTTTTGCTAAATTTAGCGAAAAAAAATCTTTTTATCTAATTTTTTCTCAATATATACATTTTTTGTAAAATTTTATTTGCTTTTTACTACCTTTTTTGGCGCTTTTTCCGTAGTCTTTTTTGACATCTTTTCTTGCTTATTTTTCGTTTGGTCTCCTTTTTTTTTTATCATTTTTTTTAATCGCCTCCTTTTCGCAATTTTTTTTTCCGTTTATGGCTCTTCCTTTTTCGTCGTATTTTTTTCGGGCGGTTTTTTGCTCTTTTTCAATAGATTTCTGGTCATTTTTTGCCCTTTTTCAATAGCTTTTTGCTCCCCTATTTTTAATATATTTTTATCCCTTCTTATGTCGCCTTGTTTTCGCTATTTGTGTACATCTCGCTTTTTTATTACATTTTCCTTGTCGCCTTTTTTGCATTTTTTCAATCGCCTTGTTCTTTGTTTGGCTTTTTGGTCGAACTTTTTCGCCGCTTTCAATTCCCTTTTTTATAGTTTATCGGTTTATTTTCATCCTTCTTTTTGGTTGCTTTTTGTTACCCTTTTTTAATCGCTTTCTTATTGTTTTTTTCACCTTTTTTGCCGTTTTTTTCCTGGCCTTTTTACCACCTATTTTGCTTTTTTCGTTCTCGTTCTCCTTTTTTTTTTGGCATTTTTTGGGTCTTCCTTTTTTGTCGTCTTTTGCCCTCTTTCAATAATAGGTTTTTGGGTTCGTTTTTAAATAATGGACTTTTTCGATTTTTTTTTATAACTTTTTATCGCTTTTTACGTCGTATTGTTTTTGTTATTTTTGTCGCTTTTTTATTTAATTTTCTTTCCCACTTTTTTAACATTTTTTTAATCGCCTTTTTCTTTGGACCTCTGTTGGTCGCATTTTCTTGTCTCTTTTTTAGACGACTTTTTTTATTACTTCCTGAGCTTAAGACACTTTTACGTTTTCTCGACCTGGAGAATTCAGACTCGGAACCAAAGGATGCACTGTTGCAAAATTAATACCCAAGCAAGTACACCATGAAAATCCTCAAAGCATTTACACCACTGGAACTAAATTGGCAAGACACACACTATTGCAAAGTTAAGTTAGTAACACATACAATATGTTTCAATTACAAAAGTTACAAAATACACACAGCTCCACGTTTGCCACCAAAGAGCGATGACTGTGCTAGGGTTTGCTAGCATGAAGGGTGTAAATTATGAACGTCGTACTTTATAAATGAACGTCGCACTTCGTATATTCCGACGCCGTGCTTTGTGAATTATAAGCTCATCATATTTAAACATTGTAAATTATATTAACTATGTTTAAAAATTATTTAATTATATAGCGTTGACAGACCAACTTCACTCGTTTCGCAAATTTCCCCAAAATTTAAATATTATCGAGTAAACGAATCATGGAATTTGATAAATTAAAACTGAAGTCGTACTTCCCCGTTTTCGGTACTTTTTGGAAAAATATCCACTTTCGTTCGTGTTCACAGTACCAACACAACACATTCTCACTAATATTTATTAATAATAAATTAGAAATCCGCGAAAAGAGCCCTACTTTTAAGCCAAATCGGAGCTCCAATGTTGCTGCCATCAGACCGAAATCTAAACTGAACACAAGGGGCCGAAAAATGCGACTTTTGAACAGGTAGCTCACGTGACAGTGTCGTCATCGTACGTCACGATGAGATTGCAAAAATTATTTTTCATGTTTTGGCCGGGAAATTAAGACATTTTCAGGATTAACTTAACAATATTTAAACAAATTGCTTTGTTTTCAGTAACTTTGTGTTTTTAACAAAACGGTGTTCGATAAATTAAAACTGAAGTGGTACTTACCCTATATTTGGTCCTTTTCGGAAAAATATCCATTTTCTTTCGTGTTCACAGCACCAACACAACATATTTTCACTAACATTTATTTTAAGAAATTCGCGAAAAAAGCCCCACTTTTAAGCCAAACCAGAGCTCCGATGTTGGTGCTATCAGACCGAAATCTAAACTGAACACAAGGGGCCGAAAAATGCGACCTTTGGACAGGTAGCTCACGTGACAGTGTCGTCATCGCACGTCACGATGAGATTAAAAAGTTATTTTTCATATTTTGGCCGGGAAATTGCACATTTTCAGGGTTAATTTAATAATATTTAAACAAATTGCTTTGTTTTTAGTAACTTTGTGTTTTGAAGAAAACGGTGTTCGATTTAATTATCATATATATATTAGTACTTATTGCATTTAAACATTATAAATAATATTGTTTAAATATTATTTAATTATATGGTGAAAATGTATAGCTTTGATATACCAACTTCAATCGTTTCGAAAATTTCCCTAAAATTTAAACTTTGTCGAGTAAACGAATCACGGAATCTGATAAATTAAAACTGAAGTCGTACTTACCCCGTTTTCGGTCCTTTTCGGAAAAATATCCATTTTCTTTCGTGTTCACAGCAATAACACAAACATTTTCCCTAATATTTATTAATAATAAATTAGAAATTCGCGAAATTGCTCTACTTTTACGCCAAAAGGACGCGACGATTTTGTCGCCATCAAACAGAAATTAAAACTGAACACAATGGACCGAAATACGTGACCTTTGGACAGGTAGCTCACGTGACAGTGTCGTCATCGCACGTCACGATGAGATTGCAAAACTTATTTTTCATATTTTGGCCGGGAAATTAGATATTTTCAGGATTAACTTAACAATATTTAAACAACAACAATTCAAAAGGGGTACTCTATATTTAATACACTTTTGGATTTATCTCTAAGCAAGCTTCTTTTAATACAAAATTTGTGAATTTAGTTTAATTACCTCTGAAGTAAATCACTAACCAATATTGTTATATTGTGCACAGACGCCAGACGAGATAAACGGAAACAGGGGTCCTATTTGTTCGTACTCTAGGAGCCATGAAACGTCGAATAAATAATGGAGTACATAAAAATATAAAAGTGGCCATTCGCCAGATAAATCCTATTTCAATTCTTTCTTAACACACCCTCGGGAAGTAAAAATCAAGGCGGATTCATACACCACCACAAGTACAAGAATATGTTATTTTATAAAATTTAAACACAAAATTTCGATTTGATATCATCAATCGCTGTAAATAAAAATGTAGGGTGCTCTATTTGAGAAATTAAATTTTATGTGTAACAGGGTAACCTATAATAATGTACAATTCTACGTGAAAAAAATGTCTGAATAGTCAACAATAAATGCGTAATCTTCCACCACGAAACCACTGAGACATCCTGTATAGATACCATGAAGCCTTTATTTATTTTATATCTATACTGTTTTATTTCCGTAATTATCTCATTTTTCCTTGTTATTTGAGTTCATTCACCCCCACCCCGAAATATTTAAAATTAAATTTTCATGAAAATAAAAAAGAAACAAGGAGATATTTGCAAAAAGAGAATAATTGTGGTTATTGACACTGAGCAACCGAGGTGAAGAAAGACGAAACGAATTATTATTTAACAATGAAAAACACGATGACAGAGAAATAATAGGATAAAGAGAAAAAGAAAATTGGAAGAATAAGACCACCTGTTACGGAACAGTGTAGATTACCGTCTTTTAAAAAACAAGATTATAGAAATTAATTTCGCATATTTCCGGTATTGTTGCATGCGACGCGGTTTACCAGCTAAACATTTGTAATATATAACAAAATGTCTCGTTTCAACACCCCGTTTTTGGAATGCAGTATATCTTACCGGAAAGACTTAACAGATAATTATTCAAATTTCCTGGAAACGCAGCTGCCGGAATTGTTAGAAGCAGTACCTTTAATAAAATCATCGTAACTAGTAATCACTGGAGTAAACATCAGTTCCAACAAAAAACAATAAAACGTTTCCGCAGAACTACAACCAGAAGAATATCACTTTACGGATCATGCGATTATTGTAATTTTATCATTGTGTTGTGAAACTCAATAGCCGTGTGGTTTGCATAATTGATTTGTGTCGGTTTTAAGCAGATATACTATGAACATTTTGCTCACTCCCGCCGAAATTTGATGACGTAATTTCGAAATTTTGCTGAGTAAATTTAAATTGTTATTAAAACTTCGGGTTTTAAACAAAGTTCGCTTGTCAGCTTGTCAAGTTGAAGTGTGTATTGTTTTTTAAAATATTATCGCGAAATCTTTACGTTTCTGGAAAATCTCGACAAGTCACTCAGTTTTAAGTGGATTTTTAGATTAAATCACAATCACCGGATTGACGTATTAGTTTCTAGAAGATGTTGACATCTGTTTAAATTCCACTGTACAAAATTATACAAGTTCTGAACGACAATAACACAGACACTTGAGTCTTTCATATTATAAATAAAAAATACTTATACTTGATAAATTGTCTTTTCTTAAAAAAAAAAAGTCTTTTAGCTGTCAAATTGCGGTCGTGAATCATCGGATAATTAAATTACGTCAAAAGTGTTAGGATTACCAAAGGAAGTGTAACAAGATTAGATTATTCATAAGGATATAAATAAAATCTTACATTCATCTAGCGCCAAAATTATCAACAAAGTGACAATAATCCAACACATTCGTCCAGTTTTTTGCCTCCACGATTTGAATATTTTTGTCGTTTCTTTTGTAGTTTATTATACATATTTATAAATGTCATCAAGATATATAGGATGCGATTAGCAGATCATAAATCTCGAAAATTACCTGCCTGCCACATTTATTAAAAGACGGCAAACAAAGAACTTGATCTTGAAGCCGTCAAAATATTCGTAAAGTAACGTTTTTACGTAACTCACACCCTAAAACAATTTGAATAAAAATAGACACAAGGGTTGGTGTATTTTAAGAACCGGTGAAGCAGGTGCTCGATGGCTGTCTCGAAATAGACAACCTCATAACAATTAAAAATGTGTCTGTGTGGAAGTCTCAAAGTCTGACTGAAATATTGTACAGTTTTGAGTTTTCGTTCGCAGCGATTTGGAGAATTTTTGACCAGGAATTCGGTAGCTGAGTTATGCGGTTTAATTACTTGGAGACGTGATAAAAGATAAAGTTTAATGGGGTAGCTGGCGACGTTTGAGATAGTAAAACCGAAAGACGAAAAAACTATTTTTTTTGACAAGATAATTTTTTAAAAATGTGTAACAG